TTGTCCGATTTCGCACCGTTAATGGGTTAATTGGTCGGCCATTTTTCTGGATTTTGGAACATTTTTTTGATCGGTAAAGTTGGAAAAAAAATCGGCCGATTTTGCTGATCGGCTGATTTTCGCGGCAATGATGGGCAAATCGGACGATCTTTTTAATGATAAAAAATCTATGCATGAGCCATGACCTGCAAGAAAACGAAGAAGAAAAGAAGAAAAAAAAAGAAGAAGAAGTAGAAATAGAAGAAGAAAAAAAGAAAAGAAGAAGAAGAATTCCAGTCCGCTATTATATTTTATATGAAAAGTCTTGCAGTTGCAACAATGTATCTATTTGTATCCGAATAAAAACATCTGTATCCGAAATGGATACAAATAGATACATTGTTGCAACTTTTTAATGTCAAATATAATAGCGGAGCTCTCTGCAGGGACAGAAGTAATTAATTGCCGGCCGTAGACGGGATGAAAATCAGCCAATTTTTTTTTTTTACCATTGGTGGTAACGTCAGCCTATTGAACGACTGATTTTTAGTTTTTTTGTTAAAGAAACGTCTGGTTTTCGACCCATCTATGGCCTGCATTAGACTCAGATCAAACAGCCTGCAGTGGCTAGGTAGAACCTGAACATACGCTGAAGCTCTTCACAGTTTTGGACCGATGTATAGCTGAAAAACCTCTGGAGGATCGTTAGCTTTTCAGCCAAGAACAAAACCCATAGACAAGGAAACAGCTGCTCTTCATTGTGATGTGGATTTGGGGATTTGGAATCCAGGTTTGGGGAGTGGCTGCTGGCATGCATGTTCTAAGTTATCAGTGTGTCCCTTTCACCTGAAATCAGTGTATATGGTGTGACCTATCGGTCAGTGGCCAGGTGATTACCCAGAACCTCTTGCTGCGACTTGGCACAAAACCACGGTCGTAACTTTTACAGCCCGGGTGGGTCAGCAGCTCTCTGTTGCATTGTTGGAGGAAGGTGCAGCACATAGAGAGTTCCCAGATTGTTGTCATACTATAAATATTTCCTTCCTATGTCTCCTCCTCGTACAGGAAAGGGGCCGAGCCACAAAGTGGTGTGATCCTGACACAGACGTGTTTCCCTCACCTCCTGGCAACCGCTCACACTTGTGTCTGTTTGAGTACAGAGACAACGGCGAGCAGACAAACCTCCCAACACCCGGATGCTAAGGAAACCATGTTTGTAAACCCAGAAATAATCCACATAGCATCTGTTGTGTGACCGGCAATATGCACTTCATTGTCATTATTATTATTATTGTTCAGCTTTTATATAACCCTAGGTTAACATCTGTGCAGGTGGTGCCGCTGTGGATCCGCACGACAATCCGTGCAGCCACACCACCCGCGCAGAGAAATGCGGACCCGCGGGTGCCAGTAGTTGTAATAACATGCCGTCCGCACTGCAAAACACAACCGTACTGGGAACCGAGGTTCCCATGTGGGCTGCGTTTTCGAAAGAAGTGCAGGGACTTCTTCCCTGCGTGTCATGGGCACGGGAGTCCATTCAAATGAACGGGCTCTCGTGCCTGTGCAAAATGCGGCACGCACGGCCGCAGAGAAGTGAACCGAGGGTAAGCGTTAAAGCCATCTCGGTGCATTTCTCATCACCATTTGCCTTCCAGAAGATTTACCCCCTTCTGACCAGGCCATTTTTTGCGATAAGGCGCTGCGTTACTTTAACTGACAATTGCACAGTCATGCAATGCTGCACCCAAATGAAATTTACATCCTTTTTTCCCACAAATAGAGCTTTCTTTCGGTAGTATTTGATCGCCTGTGCATTTTTTGCGCTATAAACGAAAAAAACCTGACAATTTTGTAAAAAAAACAATATTTTTTACTTTTTTGCTATATTACATGTCCAGTAAAATAATTAGAAAAAAAAATCAAATTTTGTCATAAATTTGGGCCAAAATGTATTCTGCGACATGTCTTTGCTAGAGAAAAATCCCAATACGTGTATATTAATTGGTTTACATGAAAGTTATTGCGTTTACCAATGGCGGTATATATATTAGGGTTTTTATTTATTTATTTTTTATACTAGTAATGGCGGCGATCAGTAACTTATAGCGGGACTGCGGCAGGCATTCTGACACTGGGGGGGGACTGACTAAGTCCTCATGCACACGGGACGTTTTGATAATGCTGGTAACGTTAGCTGTGTAAATTCACATTAAAAACGTGAGTTTTTCAGCTTTTTTTTAGCGTTTTTAGCCTTTAGCAGCATTTTGCCGTGTTTAGCTGCGTTTTCCCATGTTTGCATTTTTTAGCGTTTTTAGAAAAAAAAAAATTGGGGGGGGTAAAAAATGTCCAGTTTGCAGCATTTTACCACGTTTTGCCGCTTTTTCAGCATTAGAGAGTTTTTACAGCTAAAAATCTCCTCTAGAAACCCACTAGTCCTGGGTTTTTTTTCCAGCCAAAAAACATTGATTCCAGTCTATGTGTGCATGGACACATAGCATAACATGCTGGGGGGTTTATTGGCTGTAGAAAAAAATGTCAAAAACAGCCGCTGTAAAAACGTCCAGTGTGCATGAGGACTAAGTCTCCATACACATGGGACATTTTGATAACGTTGGTAACGTTAGCTGTGTAAAGTCACATTAAAAACGCAAGTTTTTCAGCTTTTTTTTTAGTTTTTGCATTAGCGTTTAGCGGCGTTTTGACATGTTTGCGTTTTTTTTTTTTTTTTTAAATTGGGGGGAGGGGGTCAAGAAAACATCCAAAAACGCTGATTTGCTGCGTTTTACTGTGATTTACTGCGATTTACTTTAGAGCGTTTTTACAGCTAAAGAACTCCTCTAGAAGCCCACTAGTCCTGGGTTTTTTTCCAGCGTTGATTACAGTCGATGCGTGTATGGACACATAGGATAACATGCTGGGAAGTTTACTGGCTGTAGAGAAAAAGGTCAAAAGCCAAAAACAGCCGCTGTAAAAACGTCCCATATGCATGAGGACTAACTGTCACTGACATCCCCAGTGACACCAATACAGTGATCGGTGCTAATAAAAAGCACTGACACTGTACTAATGACACTGGACCCTTTCATGACCAGGCCATTTTTTGCTATACAGCGCTGCATCAATTTAACTGACAATTGCGCATTCATGCGACACTGTACACAAACAAAGTTATATCATCATTTTTTCCACACAAATAAAGCTTTCTTTTAGTGGTATTTGATCATCACTGGGTTTTTTATTTTTTGCGCTATAAATGAAAAAAGACCAAAAATTTGAAAAGCAATATTTTTTACTTTTTGCTATAAAACATACAATTAAAAAAAATTAAAAAATAAACTTTCTTCATTAATCTAGGCTAAAATGTGTTAGGCTACATGTCTTTAGTAAAAAAAAAAAATCCCAATAAGTATATATTAATTGGTTTGTGTGAATGTTCTAGTGTGTACAAATGGCAGGATTTTTATTTATTTATTTTTACTTGTACTGGCAATGAGCATCGATTTATAGCAGGACTGTGATAGTACGATGGGCATTCTGACATTGGGAGGGGGGGGGACTGATTAACTGCCACTGACATCTCCACCATGAATTGCAGGCCGGGACCCAATGATTGACACCTACAGGAGCCAATGACAGCGTGGGTAGGGCAGCGCGAGCCCCCTACCTGGAAATGCAGAATCATGTATATACGTGTGATTTTGTGCAGAGTGGCCGCCTGTAGCAGTAAAACATGTATATGTGTGTATATGCACATATTTTTCGAGCTCTAAGAATTTAAAATATTCAGATACAATCTCCTTTTTCAAGGAGGTGTTGTAACGGAACCGGACCTTGACTGCGCTAGGGTATTTCCATTGTACTCTCGCTTCCCTGTCCGAACACAGATCCCTGGATACCACCGCTGACCAAGCAGGAAATAGACAGCACCAGACTCTCTTAAGACAGGAAGTCAACTGCTTTATTTAACCATAAACACAAGATATATACACAGGGTGGAGAAATACAACCAGGAACAGGAAACACATCAGCAAGCTGTCCCCTCAGGGGGAAGGGCTGCTGGAAACACCCCCCACCAACCCAAGACACACAATAGAAGAAAGGGATGCAGCACATGGCAGTAAACAATGAACAACCCCCACATCAATACACAAACATTACATCCCATAATAGTTTGCTAGAACAATGGAATGCAGCCCCATGGCAGAGAACAATGAACAATCAATATTAGAACCAATATTAGATCATTTCACCCTGTACCCCTAACAGGCACAGGGTGGGGTAGACATAAGAGGAACAGGAGGAGCTGAGACGGGTCCCCCCACCTCCAATAGTAACTCCTGTCACAGGTGTGATTTACGCTCCTACTCTGTGCATGTTTGTGTGTAAGTGTGTAAAATACCTACCATTAATGCAAATATTTTTTTTTTTTTTTTTTTTTTTACTGATCTAAGCACTAAACACTGTGCTAGTTTACTGATATTTACATGTTCCATTGAAAGCAATAGGCTGCATTCAGATTAATAAAAAAGAAAAAAAAAAAAGCTTGGATGCCTAAAAATGTGGTGTTTTGGAATATGTGCAAGAGCCCTTAAAGAGTAACTCTACTGTTGTATAAAAAAAATGAACAAAGAAAAAAAAAAGGAATAAACATATACAATTGTGACACAAGTCATTCCGTAATTGAATGTTATGAAAAATTACCTTTCCCTTGCAATCAGCAGAACTGTCATTTTTTGTAAAATGCAATATGACGACCTGAAGGCGATCTATACACAGATGGTGTACAGAACCCCCCAAATATATAATTTCTTGCTAATGTGATTTTGCTGACTGATTTTCCCAGAAGTTTGCACTAAGGCTGGCCATATATTATACAATTTTCCTATAGATTTACCAAAACCATATAATATGAGGCCAAACCTAAACACTTTCAACTTGTATGCAATCAGGCAGGCCCTTATACTACATAGCTGAAGGTAAATCTAAAGGAAAGAAAATATGGCCATCTTAAAGTGTTACTAAACCCACAACTGTAAAATCCGTCTGTATATGCAGTAAAGCATGCTTGCTATAATCACTGTGGAACCTAAGGGGTTAATTCTCCGCATTGTGTAAAAAGGCCATTTGATCCTGACTTCTCTGCCCCTCCTCTTGTTCAAATGTCCACACTTATCTCCTGATAGGACAGACTGAGCTGTAGCCATTCTGCACATGCTCACTTTAGTGTGTATTGCTAGAGAGTTTTTGTGTTTTTTTTTTTTTCTTGGGAGAGTGCATGTGATCAGCACAGGGCCAATCAGCACTGTCCAGACAGAGCTCAGGGGTTCTGCATCCTCCGAGAGCAGAAAGAAAACTCCTCCTACAAGTTCTGCTGAACACAATAGAAATCACAAGACTGCTATACAGGTGAAACTCGAAAACTTAGAATATCGTGCAAAAGTTCATTTATTTCAGTACTGCAACTTAAAAGGTGAAACTAATATATGAGATAGACTCATATATATATATAGTAGCCTAGAGTACCCCTTGATTGGCCTGCACAGAGTCCTGATTCCCATCAGGGAACCCTGTGGAGTTGGCGCCCTGAGTGCAGGCGATGGCGTTCCAGAGCAAAAGCAGGAGCAGGGAGAAATACTTGGCCTGTACAGTGCTATACATAGCAGCACTTATCCTCCCATGGGGATTGGTTTGGACTTTCTGAACAAGTGAAAATGGCTGTGGACAAGCCAGGGGCGGATTGACCATTTGGAAACTCGGGCACTGCCCAAGGGCCCGGGGTCAGTAGGGGGTCCCATGAGATGCCCCTGGTACCTTTTTCATAGGCTTTTTTGAGTTTGGGCAAGGACACAGGGGCCCCATGATCCTCTATTGCCCGGGGGCCCCATGAGTTGTCAGTCCGCCCCTGGGACAAGCGGAAGAGCGGTAATGTATATGCCACTCTAACGTGGCAAACACTGAATACCTTGTGGACACAAGAACACACAGTATCCCTTCACTATAGGTCCAGTTGGAGCGGAAGAAAGCTGCAACTAAAATGGACTTGTGTTCTGAAATGCTCACATTTCTTGAAGTGACACTGTCCACTTATTGCCATTTCTCATCAAGTCCATTGCCGAATATATGGTCTCTTATGCTGCTTAAACTTTATTAATGGGACTTATACCGTACAGAATTACAGAGGCCTCCATCTCCTACAATACTCCATATGGAGATTTGTGTGATGAACCGACCACCCTAATATTATACGGGAGGAAACAATCATTTACTGAATCTCTCCACACAGACTGCCATACTGACCCTTCAGGGCCTGGCCATCCCTAGGAGCCTATTTTCTCAAGCCCTGACAAGTTTTTGGGTCAATTTTGTGCACAACAGCGTTTTTGACCATTGGGCCCCCAGGGATCCCTGATTCACACAAGAGAGCTACCAAGAAAGCTATTGGAAGCCAGAAAGTTGTTGCGGTAAGCTACTGATGTGTGAATCTACATGTGTCCGGTCGTGGTTATTTTAACTATATATGTGTGCCTAGTCTGTTTTGTCTATTTATGTTTTCTAGGTGTTGAACTAACAATGTAAGATGCTTGAATCCATGCCGGAGTTTTACTCAAAAGTAAGCAATAAAAATATTGTTTTATGATATTACGGTTTTATTGGCATTAAGGTTCATTTTCTACGATACCTTAGCCTAGGAATTATCTGACACCATTAATAACCACTTAGGCCACCACTTTGGACAGTTTGTTTTTTGTGTTCAAGTTTTTTGGGTTACGGTGACAACGCTTAATTTGACATGGAAGTGTGCTGGTATACGTTTATATGTATCTTTATTTAACGCAAACATTATTTTTGGAATCAGTTAGAACTTTTGCCAAGTGTCTGCAAAAGGTACCCCACAAAATCTACAAAATAATGTCCCCAAGATCCTCCGTAGCTTGGAGAAGATGTGGTGTCTCAGGTTCCATTCTCCACATTTGGTGGGAATGCCAATTTATCACTTCCTACTGGATGGAAATTCACAATATTATTGGTCTGATAGGCCAAGCTTCCCCTTTCCTCCTTAAACCTACAGCACCTACTACATGACAGAGGAGGCCCATACAAAGCTCTCTAGTGATCCACCTACTCAATGCAGCTAAAACTCTCATCCCCAGACATTGGAAGAGCATGACACCTCCTACTATTACTGAATAGCGTAGTAGAATCTAGTACATCGCACATATGGAGGAAAAGTAAGCTATTGCAAACAATACCCTTCACTACTAGAATCATATCTGGATCACACGGTTCTAATTCAAATTTCCTGCCACTTACAACTGACCAAACCTACTTATAGCACATACAGTTGCAAGAAAAAGTATGTGAACCCCTTGGGATTACGTGGAGTTTTGCATGAATTGGGCATAAAATGTGCTCTGAACGTCATCTAAGTCACAACAATAGAAGAACACAGTCTGCTGAACATAATACTACACAAACATTAGATGTTGCCATGGTTTAATTGCACATAACATGTAAACATTCACAGTGCAGGGAGGAAAAAGTATGTGAACCTTTGGACTTAATAACTGGTTGACCCTCCTTTTGCAGCAATAACCTCAACCAAACATTTCCTGTAGTTGCATATCAGACCTGCACAACGATCTGGAGTCATTTTGGACCACTCCTCTTCACAAAACTGTTTCAGTGTAGCAATATTCTTGGGATGTCTGGTGTGAATCGCTCTCTTAAGGTCATGCCACAGCATTTCGATCGGGTTGAGGTCAGGACTCTGACTGGGCCACTCCAGAAGGCGTATTCTGTGCTGTTGCAGCCATTGTTTTGTTGAATTACTTGTATGCTTCGGGTCATTGTCCTGTTGCATCACCCATCCTCTGCAGAGCTTCAGTTGGCGGACAGATGGTCGTACGTTTTCCTGCAAAATGTCTTGATAAACTCTGGAATTCATTTTCCCATCAATGACAACAATCCGTCCAGGCCCTGAGGCAGCAAAGCAGCCCCAAACCATGATGCTCCCTCCGCCATGTTTTACAGTGGGGATGAGGTTTTGATGTTGGTGTGCTGTGCCTTTTTTTCTCCACACATAATGTTGTGTGTTCTTCCCAAACAACTCAATCTTGGTTTCATCTGTCCACAGTATATTTTGCCAGTAGTGCTGTGGAACATCCAGGTGCTCTTTTGCAAACTTCAAACGTGCTGCAATATTCTTTTTGGACAGCAATGGCTTCCTCCGTGGTGTCCTCCCATGTACTCCATTCTTGTTTAATGTTTTCCTTATTGTAGATGTGTCAACAAAAATGTTAGCATGTGCCAGAGATTTCTGTAGGTCTTTAGCTGACACTCTGGGGTTCTTCTTTACCTCATGCAGCATTCTGCGCTGTGCTCTTGCAGTCATTTTTACAGGACGACCACGCCTAGGGAGAGTAGCAACAGTGCTAAACTTTCTCCATTTGTAGACAGTCTGTCTTACCGTGGACACATGAACATCAAGGCTTTTGGAGATACTTTTGTAACCCTTTGCAGCTTCATGCAAGTCAACAATTCTTCATCATAGGTCTTCTGAGAGCTCTTTTCTGCGAGGCATGGTTCACATCAGACAGTGCTTCTTGGAACCAGTAAACCCAAAACAGGTGTGTGTCTTTTAAGGGCAGGACAGCTGTCAGCAACACATCCAATATTATCACACTGATTGGAGTCAAGGTTGGCTCACTCCTGGCTCCAATTAGCTCTGGGAGAAATCATTAAGCTAGGGCCTCACATACTTTTTCCTCCCTGCACTGTGAATGTTTACATGTTATGTGCAATTAAACCATGGCAACATCTAATGTTTGTGTAGTATTATGTTCAGCAGACTGTGTTCTTCTATTGTTGTGACTTAGATGACGTTCAGAGCACATTTTATGCCCAATTCATGCAAAACTCCACGTAATCCCAAGGGGTTCACATACTTTTTCTTGCAACTGTATACTCAAGCCTTTGACTGCCCTTTAGCCACCCCCGCATCCCATAATATCTTACCCACCCCTGTTATAGACCTATACATGAAACAACCCCCTTTCCTTATCCTGGCATTTCTCTCCCCACCCATTCTGCTAAAATTTTATATTTGTCGCATCTCTACCCTACCTTCCTGCTCCTTCTTTCCCTTGGTCTATATTTTCTATTCTTTTACACCTTTTCTATGGTATTTCTTAACACACCATGTTGTGCTTGAAGAATCATGGTAGCCACAACATGTGTCACTTACATATGATCATACAGGCTCAACCGGTCCAGTTGAAACCTGTGTTTCAAGTTTTCCACACTATTCCTGCAAATGTACCACTTCTAATATAACAGACGAGATACATTTTTTTTCATGAACTTGATTTTGTTTGTTCACTTTTTGCCATATGCCTAGATGAAGTATACTGTATATATATATATATATATATATATAGCACTGCCCCCTTATGAGTTGCTAAGTTTTTAGTCCTCCACAGCCAGATGACACGCATTTATCACAGATTTGCATTCCAGAGACAGTAAAAAGTCCTTGAGCTTGGTTTTTAAGTTTTATTAGAGGAATTGAACTCGGATGGGGTAAAGAGTGTATGGGATGCCCAAGGAACTGCTATACTGAGGACAACTTCCTAGCACCCATGTACAAGTCCAAGATAGGAAATTCTCTTCTAGGAGAGCTCTCTCCGGCCTCTCCTGCTGAACCACCCCAGACCCAAGATAAATCCTTTTCTCTTCCCAGCTGTCTGGAGGAATCCCTAGGCAAGGGGATCTTGAATCTGCTGCCTTAAAGCACAGTACAGTTGGGGGCTAGTTAGGTTTCCCACCCAAATGCCCTCTCCCCTACTCCAGTCCAGGGGGTGTAGAAGTACTCACTGTTCCTCTTCTGCAAGTTGCTGGTTGGTAGCTGCTTTCAGGCCTTCTGCTGGGCTGACTCCTTCCTCGGTTCTACAGATGGTCCTCGCTCAGAAAACCGGTGAGGTTCAGCTTTCCTCCTGTCCAGATCCCTCCTGGAGACAGGCCCCTTCCCATTGGGCCCCCTTCCAGACTCCATACTCCAGCTCCTGCTCTCACATCTTCCACACAAACTCTCCTGCCTCTGAGCAGGCTCAGTCACTACTAAGAGCTGTCCTGACCCCATGCCAAGCCTCCTGCCTGGGGATTGGTCAGGATCCCTTAAAAGTGCAGACCAGCTCCTCCTCACCCCTGCCCATTGAGTTCTAGATACTTCTCCATGTCTCTCAGCCCTGATCCAAATTTGACTTTCTGACCATCACCCAGGCTGCTACTCAGCCCTCTATCTAAAAAATAACTAGCTAGTTCCTCCTAGCTAACTAGTTCTATCTGT